AACATATTCGAGTGGTGGGCCTTCGGCGCAGCCTGTGTTTCCTCACAGCCGCCGAAATCTTGCTCCGAAGTGTAACCGTTTGTTACACTAAGGTTTCGTGCAGTCGTACTAACGACCGTACCACAAGTGAGGCCATCGCACTCACTCGTAGTACATCCACACGCTTGTGGACGCTCCAAAACGTTCATCAGATGGCCATCTGATGAACAAGCGGCAGGCATCGTTACTGTTCGATGTTGCCAGTTTACCCTTGGTTCGTACCTTCTGAGCCACGGTATATCAAGGATGACATCGAATTTGTCATCCAAATCCAATACGATAAACTCATCGTCATATTGGGTATCTTCTAGCGTAAAGTGGATCTTCACTATACGCTTCATGACAGTTACGGATGCGCCTGTCGCAAGACGTACCGTCATCCTCGTAGGAGGTGTGTCACATTCACTGAATTTAAAGTGACCATCTTCTAGCGATTGGCGTCGCACAAAATTGTTGGACGCCCCACAATCGACTAGAGCTCGAAGGGACAACTTATTCGTCACTTCGAGTTTCAAGGTAATGAGTGAGACCTCATTACCTAGAGCAGCAACGCACAACGTCTGTGTGTTGGGAGCAACCTTCATCGAGAGGCCTACAGATTCTCTTGAAGTTGCTGGACCAGTAGGCAGATCCGCACCTACTGATCCTGTCCGTTTTCTGACGGTCCATCCAGTTGTTGCGTCTTTACACCAAGTGCGGACCCTCGTCCCTGCCCATTTCTCATGGGTGGACGGTCACTACGCCCAGTGTCGCGAGACACTGGACGAGGGGCACTACACTCGTAAGCGTGGTGTCCTGTCTTTTGACATCTGTTGCATCTCTGCAACTTCTTGTAGCCTGTAGAGCGAGCCTTCTCGCTCTCTACATAACAGAGTTCCATCGGCTCTGGACCTCCGTTGTCATATCGTCTCGGTTGACGATATGATGTCGAGCTGGCGCGAGCCTGTCTCAGACTGAAGTCTTCCTGCTCCGCAATGGAAATGGCTTGTTCTAGTGAATCTAGTTCAAGTCGGAACAGGTGAGTCTTGACGAGACCATCCGCAAGACCCTGCATGAACACCGAAACCAACGTGTGTTCATCCACCGGATTGGAACTTATACAACTCGTGAGATGTCGTATATGTTGGGCGTAAGCGTGCACATCACGCTTACCCTGTTTGAGCTTCAAGAGCTCAGTTCGATCTCTGAACTCAGCTCTGGGCGGTTCAAACGTTTGTCTGAGCCGCGACTTGAAGACTTCTAACGACCCAAACGCATGTGGGTCGTGCAACTTGAGCCCCAAAGCCCAAGTCTTGGCACGTCCTGCCAGATTTGATTGGGCAAATGCAACTTGCATTTCCCCATCGTCGATGTGACGCGCCCTTATGGCGTCGTCCAATTCGACGAACCATCTCAAGAGCGAGTCTTCTTCGACTCCCCTGTACTTTGAGATGTCAATCTTCAAGGTCTCGAGCCGACGCGAATGCATCGACCCACCAGCAGCAGCCTGCTGCTGTCTCAACAGCTCAAACTGTTGAGCACCTTGTTCTCTCAACAACTCTGCTAGTTGAGAACCTTGATGTTGAAGCAAGGCTACTTTCTCGCGTTTAACGTCAAGTTCATTTTGAATGAACTTGGCGATAGTAGCATGTTGGGCATCTCTATTGAGAGCCTCTAGCGTGACACTAACAGCATGGATGCCCATGGTTGAACCCATCCGTTCAACCGCATCCCATTCGACATCGCTCAAATGGGAGTAGCCGTCACGCGTAGCGTGAAAGATTTGGTCATCTTCATCATCCAAAATATTCATGTTAGATGTGAACGTGGTCCTTAGACGGACTACGAAGTGCTACCAGGTGTAACGGGGCACCCTGAAGCTTGTACTGGTGACAGTACAAGCTACTTATTCCGATAACAGAATAAGGCGGTGCCTCGTAACTTCACGTACACTCGTACGTGCAGAGGAAGACGGTAAGGAGAAGCGAGTACTTGGTTAGAGTAAAAAGTAGAACTGTATTTAGTATAGTTAATGTCTGCAATAAATCACTATTTATCCTCATCTAACTATGTCTAAATACAAATGTGTAAATCAACTATCTGCTCACCACTCATTGCGTGCGTCTGTCGTGGCGCGTCTTCGTTGGTTGATATAATGGCCTATATCAACCAATTAGGGTATACTCGTAAGTGCTGCAGAATATTTGTCCTTATGACAATCTTCTGAGAATATAACTCTTATAGTTTATTCTATCAACAATTTCTAATAAATTGTTATGTAATGATTAACCCCGTTACAGCTACGATGCCAAGATAACGATTCTATCGCCAAACATGACAGCACAAAGCTACTGCCCGACGCAGGTAAGTTTGCATTGATAATCTTTTGACCAGCATATATCACGTGGTTTTTTTCTGATAAGACCCTTTCGGTCGTTCGGAGCGCAGTATCGAAAGAAATTTGTTAAATGGCTCTTGGATGCAATTTACATCAAAATTTACAGAAAGATGAACATCCTGGAGGCTGTGCGCTTCGCTATATTAATATGGAAGGATTTATCTGAACAAGTGATTCACAACTGTTGAAGGAAGTGTATTATCGTGGGTACAGTGAAGATAACCTATTTCAACCAACTACGTGACTACAACAAACTCATCGGTCGATGGACAATGATGGTGACAGTTCCGATGAGGTGACGATTAGACTATTTGAGGCTTTATACTGTTGTCTACTTCTCTAGTCAATTTTTTTTCGCGACAGCCCGACAGTGAATAATTAATTAAGAAGCTGGCAAGTATCACCGAGCACGTTAGAAAGCAGTGCTCGATACGAAAGACTCAGTGCACCATGGATGCATGTCTTAGAATGGGTTCAGATTGACCCTCCATTAAAGATCTTCTAACATAAAGAAAGGGGTAAACGCGCCCCATAAATTTTGGTCCGCTATGTAGAGGGGCAACTGCAACATTATAGGCTATCTGTTGCTTTGTCCAATCCAAAAATGTGTCGATAATCCACTATTCTTTATTTTTGTATGCTAACTGTAAGCTACGCGAAAGGCCATGGATTCGGTTCGTTCCTTCTTCCTTTACCCTCATCATTATCTTTATGATGTTAAGCCCTTCCACCTTCCTCCTCTTGGTATGACAGATTCTACTGTTCTTGATGATTACTGCTATTCAGCCGTGAAGATGCTATGAAGTCCTACGAGCCAGGCCCTTCGGTATCTAGAAGGAGGCCTTTGGCGCCACCAACGAGTACGTCATTACACAAGTGTAACGGCTGAGCCTATTACAAGTAATTAACGCTTTATTTTTGCAAATTAGAATCATTTTATAAAGGTTGGTAATGTTCGTCAATATTCCAACAAGGAATAATATTCAGAAATACTCATCAAGTGGCTGGTGTAGGTCATTACATCATCCGTCTATAGCGGTCCAGTCAACGATGGAGGCACGCAATGGGGGGGGGTAAACAAGACTTTGGCTTACATTTTTGTCCATAATTTTAATTAGGTCAGGACTCAAACAAACGTTAAATATTAGGACTTCATTATACATGATACAATTTTACTTTTACCAGCAACTAGTCAGTTTTTCTAGCTTTTTTTCCTTTCTCTGCGTAGATTACAGATAAGCGAAGCACCACTTGCACTTCCGTCGGTAAGAGTAGCTTCACAAAGGTTTATCAGTGTGTTGATCCGGTAACCCGTTACAATAAAAATTTATTATAAGCCTAATCCACAGAAATCCGCGTAGGAATAAGCGCGTTTATGGTTTTGTGTACCAAGATATCTACGGGAATTTCAGCTACAGGCGATGTCACGATCGACCCATGGATTTTCAATACCTTAACGCTACAATGGTTGTGAAAGCTTCGGTCCCCGGGTTAGGCTTGAATCGTACGCACCCGACGAAAGTGTGAGTCGACTTTTCTTTGCACAAAGGCGATAGGGGCCACTATTTTAATGTCATGCCAAGACCATGCTACCACGTAGCAGTGCGCAGCCCGGAAAAGGAGATATCGATACAAATGGCGTATGGTGAGTTTGGCTGAGTGTAATGGGGTGCCTCTGTTACATGATAGTTGACACAAGGTAAACAATAAATATGGATATTTGATCTGGACAAACAAAATATTCACACAGTACCGGCTGAATAGGTTATACTGTATTGCAGAAGTAACACACTGCTCCTTGGTTGACTTAGATCAACGATATCAGCCAATAAAGCCGAGAAACGACAGAAGAACGCAATGAGTGGTGAGAAGGTGGTAACAATACGTGTTTGTATTGAGGTAGTTTAATGAAGACTAAATAGGATTTATTGATTGGAGATTAACTATACTAAATAAATTCTATGTTTACCCTTTTCTCGTGTTAAACCCTTCCTCTGCACGACGAGTGAACGTGAAGTCTCGAGGCACCCCTTACTCTGTTTTCAGTGCAAGTAGCTTGTACTGTTACAGCACGAGCGACCAGTGTCCCGTTACAGCTGGTAGCACTTCGTAGTCCGTTCAACGACTATAACTATGTTGGATCTTGAAGCGGAAGACTTCCATCCAACGCAAGAAAGCTACTCCTATATAAGTTAAATCGAATGGGATGCTGTCGACAGTTTGAGGGTGACAAAAGGGAATAAGTCGTAGGCGCATTTCTGTCTGCTTTGAGTCCAGACGGGCAAAAAGCCACCATCTCCACGTTCACTAAAAATAGAATTGATGCTGAACTAGAAAAATAGCATTGCTTATCAAGGGTCTCAACATACAGAGATGTTACTGTTGAAAAGGCACTTGGGTTGTAGAAAGCAAAATGCAAAGTGAATATATTTAGGTCCTTAGTTCGCAATCTCTTTTGCTAGTCTAAGCCTACTGGATTCTTTCAACAACACAATCGTAATCGCTGTATCGCGCATTACTAATCGTGTAGTCGCGTATTAGTAATCGCTATGTCGCGCATTACTAATCGCTACGTCGTGCATTACTAATTGTCTGCACGTACATTCTTGTGGTTGCCATTTGCATGCCGAGTCGCTTCTTTTACAACACTCCCACTCGACTCGGTAGCGACACCGACAGTGATGACGAGTTTAGTACGGAGGACGGTAAACTGTGGCGCTGCGATTGCCTTGGTCATGATGTCAAAGAGCATATCTTGCGTTGGACAGTACTGTAGCACGACTTGATTCTTTTCGACCTTTTCTCGCACGAAGTGGTAGCGAATGTCGATGTGCTTGGTGCGTTTGTGGAACTCTGGGTTCTTGGCTAACGCAATAGCACCTTGATTGTCTTCATAGATAGTTAGAGCGTCATCGCCTGCTTCTTCGCCGAGCTCACGCATGAACGTCTTGAGCCACGTCACTTCTTGGGTCGCCTCCGACAGTGCCATGTACTCTGCTTCGGTAGACGAGAGTGCCACGCTGCGCTGTTTCTTGCTACGCCAGCTGATGCAGCCGTTGATTAGCACAAATACGTAGCCGCTGGTACTTCGTCTAGTATCAATATCTCCAGCCCAGTCGGCATCGGAATAGTCAAGCAATTTGCCATTGCCAGCGCCAATAAAACGAACACCAAGTGTAGGAGTCGCTTGCAGGTACCGTAGCACGCGCTTGAGTGCTTGCCAGTGTGTCGGACACGGGTCAGCAGCAAACTGGCTGAGCACTCCCACTGAAGCTGCGAGGTCTGGACGCGTGCCTACCATGAGGTACATCAAGGCGCCGACGGCACTTCGGTATGGCACTCCTTGCATGGTGTAGTTGTGCTTGCATCCATCTTTGCACATGCGCTTAGTCAACTTCAGTCCGGGATCTTGCGGTGTCTTAACAGGCTTAAGGTCTTGCATACCGAACTTGGTCAGAATCGATCGCAAGAACTTAGTCTGTTTCATCGATACATCACCTGACTTGTTATCGCGCTCGACTTCTATTCCGAGGCAGTACTTAAGCTCACCGAGATCGGACATCTCGAATCGCTCGCTTAATGCACGTTTGGTGGCTGCGAGGATGTCCATGTTGTTGCACGCAAGGATGAGGTCGTCGACGTATATGACAACAAACATCATGACCTTGTCGTCACGCTTGGCGTAGACACAGTGATCCATCTCGCACTTGGTGAAGCCAATATTGCGCATGAACTCATCAATAGTCTGGTTCCACATACGAGGGGATCGCTTGAGTCCGTACAACGCACGCTTGAGCTTGCACACATGGTGAGGATGATTGGCATCAACGAATCCGTCAGGCTGCTTCATGTAGATCTCCTCTTCAAGCATACCGTTAAGAAACGCCGTTTTGACGTCCATCTGGTGAAGTACGAGGTTGTGCTGCGCGCGAGGCTCACAATGATCCGGATCGACGCGAACTTGGCCACTGGTGCGAACGTCTCCTCGAAGTCCACACCGTACTTTTGCAAAAATCCTTTTGCCAAGAGGCGCGCTTTGTATCGCTCGATGAGTCCATCAACAGTCTCCTTCACCTTGAACACCCACTTGCTGCTGATCGCCTTGCGATCACTTGGTAACGGCACGAGTTCCCACGTGTTGTTCTTGCACAATGACTGAAACTCTGATTCGCACGCTTCACGCCACTTTCTTGCGTCGCTGGATTCCATAGCCGATGAGAATGTCATCGGCACTTCTCCCACTGAATCCACGACGTTAGCACAGTCTTCTTCATGTTCTACTTCTTCTTCTTCTTCATCAATAGATGCGAGAAGCGCCGACATGGCTTCGAGTGGTGACGCAGTTCCTTGCACTGACGATGTGTGCACACCACTTGTACTAGCCCCTCGTCCATAGCGTTTTTCCACTGGTGGCTCTGACAAAGCTTCAAGTGACTGTGTGCGTACTTGTCTTTTCGACCCCGGTAAAAACTCGTCTGTCTGCGGCTGCATATACTGCGGTTGATGACTTGAACGCCGCATTTGTTGCCATTGTGGCCACTCATGGATCGATGCTGATTCGGGCATATGCGCATCCATGTCTTCATTGGCAACCCCGTTGTCACGGTCGTTGAAGTCTTCATCAGTGTTATGATACTCGATAGGGTCGATGCCACTTTGTTGCATGTACTTCCCGCCGTCGAACATGTCTTCCATAAATTGGGCGTCGCGACTCACTAGAATGCGACTGCTTGATATCTCTTCAAACCGGTACGCCTTTTCGTGGTCTGAGTATCCCAAGAAGCGACACAACGTCGATCGCGCATCAAGCTTCGACCTCTTCTCTTTCGGCACATGCACATATGCGTGACATCCAAAGACTTTCAGGTTTTTCAGCAATGGCTTCGCCTTTGTTCATACCTCGTGCGGGGACTTGTCATGGCCAATTGCTTGCGTTGGACATCGATTGCGTAGGAACGCTGCCGTTGACACTGCTTCGCCCCAGTAGCGCTTGCTTAGTCCCGCATGCTCAATCATGCATCTAGCACTCTCGACTAGAGTCCTGTTCATTCTCTCCGCCACTCCGTTAAGTTGTGGGGTGTACGGCGGCGTAAATTGCTGTATGATGCCTTTGTTGCGACAGAACGCGGCGAACTTGTTGGACACATATTCTCCACCGTTGTCGCTGCGGAGCATCTTGATGCGACGACCGGTATGAGTCTCGGCAAACTTGGTGAACTGCATGAACTTGTCTAATACTTCAGACTTGCTGTGAATGAGGTACACAGTACAAAACCGCGACTTGTCGTCGATGAACGTCACAAAATAGCGCTTGTTGGAAAATGTCGAAGTCTGCATTGGTCCACATACATCGGAGTGCACGACGTCGAGCAGGTCATTGGCTGGTTTACGTGTAGTTGACTGAAAACTCACTCGCGTCTGCTTTCCGAGCGCGCATCCGTTGCAAAGCTCCCACTTGCCCACAGATGTAATGTCGATGCCGACACCAAGATTCTGCTTCACGATCGCGTCGAGTCCACGATGGCCAATGTGACCAAGACGCAGATGCCACAAGTATGACTTGCTCATCTGAGGCTTGTTGGATTCACTTGCGATGCTCGCGCTCTCGACTTGCACAGGTGTCATGCATAGTTTAAAGAGACCTTTGCCGGCACGCTCGCCGATCTTCCACTTCTGGTTCTTGAAATTTGCATAACAGGCGCTCGTATCAAACGTCACTGTCGCGACATCCTTGGTGAATAGGCCGACTGAGAACAGATTGCGTGAAAGCTTTGGAATGTGCCACACATTCGTAAGCACACCCTTCTTGGCACCACTTGGTGTCTTCATCATCATCACTACGTTGCCGGTCCCAATCGCCTGCACGACCCCGTCGTCTGCGAGATGAACGTTTACTGGATCGATGGTCTTGTAGTTTGTAATAAACCGCTTTGAGAATGACATGTGCTGCGTCGCACCAGAGTCTATGAGCCATGCTGGATTCTTGATGCTGTCGTCGTCGTTGCTCTCCAATCCAGCTGCAAACAGGAAATCGTTCAAGTTTTCATCTTGGTTGTGCGCCACATTCGCACGCTGCGGACGCTGCCGGTCCGCGTTGTCATGGATCCGCGAGGTACATTACGCGATCCAATGACCCATCTTGCCGCAGTAGTTGCACGCGCCAGTCTTCTTGAGTGGCCGTCCACTACGCTTCTTCTCACCTGTCATGAACGCTTGACCTGCAGCGACCCCGTCACTGCCTTGATCCTTGCGCTTCATGTCTTTATGTAGCAGCCTGGATGTCACCAGTTCCCAAGACAGCGAGTCGGCCCTTGACTCCAAAGCAGTAATGAGAAACGCAAACGACTCACTTAAGCTTCCAAGAAGCGTGATCACCAGGTCGTCTTCGCTGACCGGAGCACCCACCGCGTCGAGTTGTTCCGCCAGTGTCTTTATCTTGTTAATGTGCGAAAGCACATCATCGCCTTCCTCCATCTTGGCCGTGAAGAAACGGCGACGAAGAAAGAGCTTGTTGGCTAAGCTCTTCTTCTCAAAGTGGCCTTCCAGCCGCGACCATGCATCGTACGCTCCACTTGCCGACCGAACCAGGGGCAGCTGCGAGTCCTCCATCGCAAGACAGATTATCGCGAGCGCCTTCCGTGACTTGCGCTTGAACGTTGACTGCTCCAGCGTAGTGGCAAGGTGTTCCAGCTTGATCTCCCCGCTTGTCACTTCCCGAAGGTCCCGCTCCTCCAGCACCATCTGCATTTTGAACTTCCAAGTGTGGAAGTTCGTACCATCAAACTTGTTGATGTGAGCGTTGGTGGCGGTGGCAGCGTCCATGTTGAAGGCAAAGTCGGCGTCGGGGGGGGGGCAGAGTCAGCTGAGCTTGGGCTCATAACCTGTTGAAAAGGCACTTGGGTTGTAGAAAGCAAAATGCAAAGTGAATATATTTAGGTCCTTAGTTCGCAATCTCTTTTGCTAGTCTAAGCCTACTGGATTCTTTCAACAACACAATCGTAATCGCTGTATCGCGCATTACTAATCGTGTAGTCGCGTATCAGTAATCGCTATGTCGCGCATTACTAATCGTGTAGTCGCGTATTAGTAATCGCTATGTCGCGTATTAGTAATCGCTATGTCGCGCATTACTAATCGCTACGTCGTGCATTACTAATTGTCTGCACGTACATTCTTGTGGTTGCCATTTGCATGCCGAGTCGCTTCTTTTACAACAGTTACAACTAACACTTCGAGTTGCTAAGAAAGCAGCAGGCTGCTGTTACCGGGTAACAACACTCCCAGCGACCCGAATCACTAATGGTGACAATATAAAATGCAAAACAGCTAGAGAAGATCCTTTGCTACAATGTTTGTTAGGCTAGAGGAAGCCGTTAAGGATCTTAACGCTGTCGGCAAGCAAGTGCAGGTAGCATTTGTTCATTCGAACTTGGCAGAAGGTGTGAAGACTTTAGCCTTAAGCCTTAAGCTACACGACTTATTTAATTTAAGGTCGTGATGAGTCTTAAAGTCCCTGCCAAGGCAAAAAATTGAACCAATGCGATTTGAGTTTAGGTCCTGCTTTAAACTCCTGATGGATAAGAAACACAGACGTGGTGTAAACTCTTACATCCAGTACTTACGTCATCTTACGAGTTGCATTACAGTTAACACACTGAACCAATCAATGTTAATTAAGCTGTTCATGCAGGGTCTGACGGATTGTATTTATAAATCATACCTGTTTGAAAGGAATTAAAATACTGTAAGAGACCATAAGGGATTAGGAACAGTAGGACTCCAGCGTGAAGCAATATCACGTGAGTTATAACCTAGTAGTCTCTTAAAGGTAACAGGAAAGCGAAGCCTTAGAACCGATGGACCTCTTTTATGCTAGGAATGAACTCCCTCGCGTTTTTAAACTATAAGAAATTGCAGACACGCAATAGGTGTCAAAAGCTAGGGCATTTGCATACGAATACAGTGCCCCGAACGTGGTACCACGTACCGCAGGAAGCGGTAACCGTCCAGTTTCGAGGCGTAGATCCGACGCTGTTGCAAAAAACAACACTGCAACGGACGACTAGATAAAAATCAGGGTCAGTAGGTGTGGATTACCCTGCTGATGCATCAACAAGTTAATATGCAGAAATCTTGATGAAAATTTCTCCCAACATGCAATCATTGTGTGTTACTTCGTCTGGAAATGAGGTTTTCTCCACATATTAAAGCTCGAAGTGGCAAAGGACATGTCACTACGAGCCCTTGTCGATTATGGGGTGTCACTTAACTTGGTACAACGATCATCGCTAGATAATAGAAAGCTCAGATAGGACATGCGAGAGATCTCGCCAACGAAGATGACGTTAAGCCTCGCTACAGGCGCATCCGTAAAAGTGATGAGACGTGTTGTAGAATAATACATACTGTGATAATGTTGGTAAGATGATGACTTCACGTCTTGGACTTGGATGAAAATCTTGATTTTTTATCATTCGACTGCTGTGGCTCAAAAGGTACAAGCCAAAAGTCAGCTGGCATCGACGAAGTGTCTATTTGCTCGCCGCTTGTTCACCAGACGTCCGTCTGATGCACGGCTAGGAACGTTCACCACCATGTGGATGCGCTACAAGTGAGTGCGATGGAATCACGTGTGGTTCGGTCAGCCTTAAGAATGCACAAGATCACATTATGAATAAGCGTTAAGGAGAAACTCCTAGCGACTGCATCAAAATGTAGAAAGTGCCGAATTTGCACCTCTCGAATAAATTGAGCGAACTGGGGCACGGCTGCCTCCTTCAAGGACAAAATTCATATCATGACCAACCGATTACCAATAATTGTTATTACGAAGATGAATTAGCCCAAGAGGCAAGAGCTGAGGCAATATGACCCCATCAGACTCTTTAAATTGATTCCGACAAAATGACAGAGATGGTAAAGGTCATGTATGTTAAAAAATGAAGCATAGGTAGCCAAATGCTTGAGCTGATTGCGCCTCCGAAGTTAACTTTGGAGATTACTCAGTAGTCTTCTCTGAACCAAAATTGATTCTTGCGTGATAGGAGTAGTGGATACGTCAAGTAGGTATGCGTGATGAGTACGTCAGTGACATGCAATCGGCAATGGGCTTTGCCTAAGTTGAACGAGCTCTAAGTAGCTATTAATTGGACGATATATTCCTTGATGAGAAAAATCGAATTGAGCGGTGCACATCCCAAACGTGGAAATCGCTTAGAGCTATTCCTCTATACAATAATATAATGGAATTCAGGGATGTATTACCAGAAGTAGTCCGGTGCGAGTTAACTAAATGCAAATGTGATCGTCACGAGTTCGACCTAAAATTGAATTTGAAGTACTGTGTCATGAAGCAATGGCTACTGCCTCGTAAACAAGCATTAGCGCTTAACAAATCCTTCGCTGATCGCTTAGAAGCCAATCATATAAGGAAGGACGCTGTCCACGTTGCTCTCCGACCATCAGTATGCTAAAGGCCACAAGAGAGTGGCAGAAATTACACGCCTTTAACAAGGTGAATGCTGCCAGCTTAATAAAACAATACGACCAAAAGATGTCGTCATAAGTAATATGGCTAACTGTGCCATCTCTTCATCTGTAAATTTGATGGATGTGTTCCATCAGAATCTAAACAGCGTAGTAAAGACTCTCATATTGAAGTAAGCACCTTAAGTGGTACTCTTTGGTTGTGGTCAGTTAAAAATGCTACGTATGCCCCATTTACATTCAACAGATGTGTAACGAATCAGTTTAGATACGTAGCATAGTTTGCGCCTGGTTAATACAATGACGTGTTCGTCCACATCCGGGCTATGTACAAGCAGGCGGACTAAAAATGCATTCAATCCATTTCCAAAAAGTTCCTTAACTATTGCGCGAGCATAAGCTGTACGCCAAACCAAAGAGGCAAGTATTTTGCTGCTTGCAAAAATATCACTTCGCGGGTGCATCGTGGGCAAGCATGGCGTCTGGCCCGATCCAGAAACGATCAAGGCTATTAATTCCAGGACGGTCCCTACAGATGTCAAGGAACTTCGACAGTTTCTTGGCTTAGCGGTGTGTTCGCTGTGAAATCTACGCTATTCACCGAGATGACTGTTCACCTCTCTCGGTTTTTAAATAAATACGAAAATGATAGTGGAAACAAAATGCTAATTACCAGCGCTATTTCGTAAGCATCAAGCAAAGGTTGATATGATCTCCAGTTTTGGCAATCGCAGACCAAGACTGGACATTTTACAAAGTCTGTAATGCCAGCAAATTTGCAATCGGTCGTGCATTAATGCATTATGATGCGGAGCGTGTCTTATGTTATTTGTAACGCCAGCTGCAACCAGCTAAGCGTAATTGCCCCGTCCATGACAAGAAATACTTGCCATGATGTACGCGCTGGAGACTTTTTCCAGAGTCTATTTTCTTGTCGACAAATCCGTCATCAGTTATTCGGACTAAGCGTCTTCACACACGGCCGTAAACAGTCTACACATATCGCAGCGGATGGCAAGGTGGCTGCCTATCTTTTTGGAGTGCAATTTCTCCATCGAGCCTCAGCCAGAACAAATTTGTGTCGTCGCTGACGCACTATCGCGCCAACTTGATTCCGAGCCGTCTGCGCCACCCGACGCTGATGCGACCATTGTCGCACTACTGACTTCGATTGTTCTTTCGCCACCCTTAATAAATCATACAAAAGGCGTGTGATTTGTTGATGAATCTTTTAATGCATTATCTATCGCAACCTATCAAAAGGTGAATAAATCAGTTTTCATTATACATCGATTTTACGGAGACATATACAATTCTCAACGGCTTACTTCAACACTCAGCTGTTTCCGTCGAAATTTTGTGTCATAGTACCATATTCCGGTGATCTGAAATCGCGTCTCATTTAGATTACCACAACGCACGTGTTGGTGGACATCGTGGTCTTAAAAAACACTTCTCATAGTTATCCGCGAATTTTACTGGAATCGTCAGTATAAGTTCGCTCAAAAGTACGGTTCGGCCTGTGAGGTGTGTCAGCGGATGATCTAGTCCTTCCCTTCGAGATTATCTGCAGTCTCTGCCCATCCCGGCCGTGAGGTAAAATTTCGCTGTCATCGTGAGACAGATGGCCAGACCGAATGCGCCAACCTTGTCCTCGAGGAGATCCTTCGAAAGTACTTTTAATTCCTATTTGAGATGAAGTTCATTGCTGCCGATGGTGATGCTTGCCATTAACAATTTAGTCCATGCTTCGACGAAACATGCGCCTTTCTTTGTGAATGGCTTACGCCATCCTCTTATTCCTACCTATAAAGAGTGACTCTCGTTACAGGAAAATTGACTTATTCGAGCGACCTTCAATCCGGCCTTTACCCGTCACGTGCTGCAAAGGCGGTTACCACGTTCGACGTCTATGTCGTACATCAGCTTTAAAGAAAAGACGAAAGTAAGAGAAAAGATGCTCTTACTGGCCCCGATACTCATCAAATCATCACTACGCCTATTGAGTCCAAAGACACACTCGTAGAGGCGAAAATTTATCTTGATACAGTACGCGTCAAGTTCACTGCGGCTAAAGAAATCAATTTAGCAGACGGATTCAAACTGGCTCGCGAAACGGTATCCCTTTCGTTTAATACAATATCACAGAGGCGTAAATCAACAAAAACGAAACGCTGACAAGAATGGAAGGGCAAATGTTCTTTATTTATAAAGAACATTGGTCTTACTATCTACGGTAATCTAAATTCGACACATAGTGACTAAAGCGGAAAGCAACAAGCTGCAACCCAAGTTTACGGTTCTCTTTCGTGTGCTGATCCGCCTAGGCAACACAT